CATATATGACAAGCATGTACACGTCCATTGATTCAGGTTTGTAGAATATAATTCTTTAGTATTTGAGGTTTTTTTTTTGAGCTTTCTCCATTTATGCTTAAATTCTTTTCTTCATGGTACTATATAGCGGCCCTGTTGCAATAAACGAATTCAGTGCAATTGTTGATTAACAACTCTTGTCACTAATATATAACACAAATGATCAATTTGTGGCTTGTGAAATTTATACAAATAGTCATGCTTAATGTGTTGCCAATGCGACTCTATAATCATTGTTGTTTTAATGTGACTAATTTTACTATTTGTAGCTCGTGCCCACAAGATCCATCTTTTTTGACAATACCAATTATTCCAAAGATAGATTCAAAGATTGATTAAATTATTCTCTTTACAAAAAGAAACTATTTCTTTAACACAATCTTCTCATATAGCTTGCGAACTCATATAATATTCACCATTAGACTTCGGTAATAGTATATGTCAATTATAATGAAGTTCAACAAGATCAATAACTTGTTTTTTAAGGTTTGATGGACAAAAAACAAACATTATGTGATTATTAGACCTTTTCTAGCAAGGATCAATGGCAGAACATTCTTGATATACAACAATTGGATCATATAAATAATTTGAAATTGGTTGGTTTAATGCTACTCTTTGTTTTATCGCCTGTAAAACATGCTAGGAGCATAACTGTAAACATACATTTGGCTATACTTTCTGAGTTGCATTTATTTCACTGAAGTTTTTATCCATCGAAATGAAAGGAAAATTACTAATTGCCTATTTTTTAATTCACTTATCCATTGAATTAAAATTGTTGTAATATCCCTGCTTTTTCCTGCAGCAATTAACAGGTAGCTTATAGGAAAACCAGTTTCATCAATCACACCCATAATCGCATATAATTCCCATCTCATTTTGTTAGTGCCATAAGTTGTGTCTATTTGAATTGCATCAAAATTATTACGCGGAAGCTGATAAAAAAGTACAGTAAGAAATCCAAGAGCTGGTGTTGAAGTAGTTATATCAATAATAATTTCCTAATTATATTCATTCAATAAAAGTTTTGTTGATATAAAAGGATCAGAATTGCGATGGTACATTTTTTGGGATTCTTTTGACCACCAAAAATATGTTTGTTGAACTGTAAGATTTTCATATCCTTTGAGTTGTTTTTCTTTAATTTGTCGATGTAATTCTGGAACCAAATAATTAATATTATTTCTAATAAATTCACAAATTTCCAAAGTCGTTTCTATATGAATTGGGCATGGATGTAGCATTAAATAAGAGTATTCAATTTTGATAATGTTCAAAGATACCAGAATTTTAATTTTAATAATGCCTTCACAATTATACCGTTCAATTCGTATAGGAGTATCTCTATGAACTTCTGGATTTGGATGTTTTATTTGACGCTTCGCCCGATCAATATGGCAATTACAATGATAGGTAACCATTAATGAATTTTTTTTTGATTCTTGTCTTTATAAATCCACCTATAACCATCTCTATTTTCAATAAATTTTGCTATATGACAAGCAACTTCAAGGTAAAGTTTTTCATTATTATTAAAATTTTCTTTATTCTTATCTAATATTGTAGTAATAAGAGAAGACAACTCGACATCAAAACTAATCACCAATTCGACATTATCATTTTCATAAAAGTTATTAGTATTTTCTAAAGAAATCAAAGAGTTATACACAAATTCATCAATGTCTAAGTAAGTAATTGTGGCTTCATGCCTTTGGTTATTATTTTTAGTCAGTCGAGAGGTGGTTCATTTATCTCTACATGATTGACACCAAACTAAGGCTTTATTATTTTTAAGAAATTCAGTAATTTCTTTGAGCATATGACAATTATCGCATGTTTTATGAGATGGAAAATCAATGCTTTTACTGGTCATTATCAACTGTTAAAAAAGTTACTAGCAAGTCGACAAAAAATTTTTGAGTAAAAAAAAAAAATTTCTTATATTTATTCAATTCTGAAACATCGAAGATTCAAATTTTGATCATATTACATTGCAAGATACATTCATCAGATTTATTATATCATATACTTTATTATTATAATTTATTAAATCAATTAGCCAATAAGCACTTCTGGCTTTAGATGGCTCTTTTCAAATAAATATAAAATAAGAAAATAACGCACATCTCATGATAATTGTGCTAAAATATTGTAGTTTTATAAATTGAATTATTAAATAAATAAAAGCTGAGTAGCAAATATAAATACTACAAGGCTTTAGTACATCTCACTATAAGTCTCTTGAAATGATAAAGTTTGAATTTTATTGTTATTGTCTTATTTATTAAAATCATTAATAGTTACTGTTATGTGCATTATTACATGATGTATAAAATAAAATAATTGTTAATTGTGTAACCACTGATTAAATGATTTTCATTTGTGTTACCAAACATGCAGCTACATTTTTTTCAGGGGAATGCTAGGGTTGTCGTCATCTGTGGCTATGTTTTGTGCTGCTTTGTTTATAATCATGTGCACTTTATGATACTTATGTGTTTACTTTGTCTATATTTGTACATGCCTGTTTGCTTGTCTTTTCACATGCTCACATGTTTTAAACAGATCTGCGATTCCAGGTCTAAGCTATTTTCCCAAAATTTTTGGTTTTTGAGATTTGTTTGGAAAGTTTGTCTTTTCTTCACTTGCTTCTTGGCTTGTTTTCTTCTGCTGCTTTGTTTGCTAGTTCTATTTTCGCAGCTCTTTCTTTTTTGTTAAGTCTTTAAGCACAGTTTTGACAGTGGTTTTCTGTTAGTCTTGATTTTTGTTTTTGCAGGTTTTGTGTTTTGGTGGTCAGC